GCACCTCGGTCCTCGCCGCCGCCAACCCGGTCCACGGCCGCTACCACGAGGACAAGAACGCGGCGGAGCAGGTGGACTTCCAGACGACGATCCTATCGCGATTCGACATGATCTTTGTCCTCAAGGAACGAGGACCCTAGAGGGGGGAGATATAGGGGGAGATATAGGGGGGGGGGGGGGGGAAGGGGGGGGGGAAGATGTCCTCAAGGACGAGGACTTTAGATGGAGAGGGTACAGACCCGCCGTATCCCCGACCGGCGCGAGAGAGGAGACGCACTCGGCTGCAGTCCGCCGTACTCACTGTGTTCGTAGCCCCGTGTACTCACGCGGTGCTCTGACCGCACTGCGCGAGACCGCAGTCACACCCGGGCCGTGGCGGTGTTCACTGCTGCAGGACAAACACGCCGCCGAGTTCGAATTAGATCTTGACTGAGTCTGAATTACCTCAGGACAAGCACGATGCCGAGTTCGACGGCAAGCTCGCCAAGCACATCATCAACCTGCACGTGCAGGGCGGCGCCGCCGTAGAGCGCGAGGTCAGCGAGGACGAGCTCGACGTGCGCACGCTCATCGGTACATCGTATTATATATAATACACATAATAAGATGTAACATAACATGTGGATAGGTGCGCACGCTCAAGCGGTACATCGCCTTCGCGCGCAAGACGTGCTCGCCGCGCCTCTCCACCGAGGTGCCCCCACCTCCCGCGCCTCTCCCGCACCCCTCCCCGCACCCCTCCCCGCACCCCTCCCCGCACCCCTCCCCGCTCCCCTGCAGGCGGCCGAGCGGCTCAACAACTACTACGTCGAGGTGCGCAAGGGCCTTGCGAGCGCCGACGCGGAGAGCGAGAAGCAGGGCAAGGCGCCGCGCGCGGTGCCGATCACGGTGCGCGCACACACAACACACGCACCCATGTCCGCCCGGGCCCCAGAAGCGCGCAGCGGCCGCGTGTGGCGCCTTCGCCGTCTGCAAGGCGCCGCTGTCCACACGCGCCCGCTGGCTGCGTCGACGCCTCTTTCTTCTTCCACAGGTGCGCCAGCTGGAGGCGCTCGTGCGGATCTCGGAGTCGCACGCGAAGATGCGGCTAGACCCGGTGGCGACGGCGGACGACGTCACGGAAAGTAGAAGCGGAAGCCAGACCTGCGTACAAACCTGTGTGACCCGCCTTCAACTAGCGCCCGCGAGGACACGCCTTCCGCCGTATCACCCCCCCACACACACACATCCGCCGCATTGAGCGGCATTCGCTGGGTTTGCAGCCCGTGTGTCCATGCGGTGCTCTGAGTACTCTGCACGAGTCCGTGCTCACCCTGACCTTTGGTGCATTCACACCGCAGGTCAAGCAGGCAATCGAGCTCTTCACAGCCTCGACCCTCCAGGCCGCCAAGCTGGGCGAGATCACGCTCGAGGGCGGCGGCGTGTCGGAGGGGCTTGCGGAGCTGCGGCAGCGCATCGAGGGGATGGTCGCCATCGGCCAGATGCGCGGCAAGAGCGAGATCATCTCGCAGGCGGTCGCGTGGGGCTTCAGCGAGCGTGACGCGGAGAATGCCATCCGCTCGCTCGTCGGCGCGGAGCAGTTTGAGGAGTCGCGCCAGGGCCGGCGGCTCAAGCGCGTTGCGTGAGCCCTATGATGCCGCCGCGACAGATCGCCTGGCCACGACTGCCCGGTTGGTCTAAGCCAAGCGTTGGGTGGCTCTCCCATTATCTCCGTTTGTACATCACTGTTGTGGCGTCTGTAGTCCGTGCATGGAGGAGGCTAGTATGAGGTTCACTCGCAGCGAGTGCCCAGACTGTACGAAAGAGGTACTCATGACTCATGTACGCGAAGAAAAGAGACGCCTCGCAGATAGCACGAGCGTCGAGAGCCTCGTTATACGGTTATTTCGTTTGGCGTCCGCCGCTCCGCCTCCTGGGCGAGCGGCCGGGGAGGCCAGAGAGCTCTGGCAGAGTGCGTGTGGCTCCGCCAGTCGCAGTGACAGTAGTGTCACGTTCAGTGTCAGGTCAAACGCGACACGATCACAACAAAAGAACTCTAGATATGGTCTAAAAGCGAAAGGGGTAGATGTTACTGTCGGTATCCAGAGAGCCTGCAATAATTTATTCGTGCATCGTGCCCACTTCCTGCAGCTGCACGGTTCGGGCCGAGCGCTATTTGCTCGGCGGTATCGAGCCCCTCGCTGCCAGCTGCCACGCGAGCCAACCCGCTAAAGCAGCGGCAGCGTCAGCCGGCTCGTCAGCCCAGACGCCTGCGCAGCAGCATCCGTGGCGCGGTGAGCCCAGTCGGAGTCCTTCATACCTCGCATCGCATCGCCTCTTCTGTGTCACGCTCACGTGTATATGACCCCCATGCGATGCAACCGGCTCGAAGCTCGCTGGAGCTCGTTCCGTCGGCGTTTCGGACGGAGGTGACGGAGGCGGGGAAGGAGGCTCTCTCGCGATGGGCAGCACAGGTTCCCACGCGTGGTACGGACCCTGCGAAAGGCGGCGTAGGTCGGGCCAGAGTGAGATCGCGGGGGCAAAATGGCCCACTTCGTGACCCTCCCTCAGTGTCTCACGGCCAATCAGCGCTCGCAGCGTGCAGAGCAAAATCCAAAGCACACACCGCCGTCGTCGAGCGGTAGACTCGTATCTCGCTGAGAGCGCACCTGGCGGGCCGGCACCGATTGGTGAATCAAACCTTACGTGACGGGCGCCTCAGTCGCCTGTGACTCTGCCCAGGGAAGTGGTGTGTGTGTATGTGCGTGCATGTATGTGTGCTGTGCGTGTATGTGCGCGTGTTGTGCGTGCGTGTGCGTGTGCGTGTGCATGTGCGTGTGTGTGTGCGTGTGCGTGTGCATGTGCGTGTGTGTGTGTGTGCATGTATGTGCGTGTGTGTGTGTGTGTGTGTGTGTGTGTGTGTGTGTGTGTGTGTGTGTGTGTGTGTGTGTGTGTGTGTGTGTGTGTGTGTGTGTGTGTGTGTGTGTGTGTGTGTGTGTGTTTGTGTGCGTGTGTGTGCGCGTGCGTGCGTGTGCGTGTGCGTGTGCGTGTGTGTGAGGTGGGTGGGGTGCACTCTCTGGCTCACAGACCGCCGCTCGTGCTGCCGCCAGCCAGTTGCACTGCTGCCCGCGCTCGAACTCCTTGCCGGGGAGCGCGGCTCAAGCGGGTGGATCTGCTCCAGTCGCACAAAGGGCTGGCTCGAGGTGCCTGCGGCCATGCTCGCCGGGAGTGCGTCCGTCCGTTCGCAGTTGCGTTTCGGCCCCGCGTGTCGGCACTGGTAAAGTTGTCACAGAAGAGCCTCACTCCTAGGCGGCCCGCCATGAGATCTTCCCTCTTCTTGTTTCTCACCGTTCAGCGAAGCACCTCGACTGGTGTGTGCCTGGGCCCGCGGTTGTCTTTTGTGTGGAGCACTTTGGTTGGTGCGAGAGAGGAGATCTATCCATATGTGTGTGACATTTTGCAACGGGTACTGTGACATTTGAATCGCAAATGGGACCCGAATGGGACCGGGACGAACATTGGGATCCGGGTCCCACTGACACCCAGGCGCTCTCCTGCCGCTGGCGTGCTCCGCCCAGGCTCCGCCGACCCCGACCGTCGGCGCTGCACGTGAGGCATAGCTACCCCAACGCCCTGCGAGCTTCCCCGCGCGCCCTGGGCGCCTCGGCGACCCCCCTCGCGAACCCTGCATTGTTACTTTTTTAACAGTACTCGAGAATACACCAACGAGACGGTTCGTGAAGGGTCGGTGCGAGTCGTGCTTGCTTGTTCCTCGGCCTTGGTGAGCAGTCACATCCGTGCTCCCCGCCATCTCCATCGCCTGGTCTGCGAATGCTTATCAGCCACGAAAGGAGAGCGTGGCCGAGGACGCATAGACTCGATCGCAAGATCCCAGACAGAAAGGCACCTCCGCCTCTGGACAGGGTGGCCCGCCACGTAAGGACCCCAGGAATTGCGACTCGCCGCTTTCCTCCCACTGTGAATTTGTGTGAGCTCTGTGTCCTGATTTGCCAACAAGATACCTGCAACGAAACGGCTTTTACTCGGCGCCAAACTTGTCAACTTTTACGAAGGCGTCCTAACGAGCGTTCCGCCGTATTGATTGACCATTCGCTCCAGCTTGAAAATCATGCACGCCGCTGTGCGATCCCTGCTGTCGATGCTGATCAGCGCAGTGCCGCTGAAAGGCGTGGATGGAGACCCGAGCACCGTCTCGCTCTCTCAGCATTTGAAGGAGCTTGGGTATCCCGGAATAGACCCGGTAATTATTTCCCTCTCCGACCACGGCATACGTGTTTCCTCGTCCTCCCCTTCTCCGCTGCCGCCCGGGCCGCCCCCCCCATCTCCACCGGGACCAGTGCCACCACCTCCCTCTCCGCCTCCGCCCTATCCCCCACCTCCGTCCCCTCCAAGGGTGGTGGACGCTTCACCGACGCCTCCTCCACCCTCGCCGCCTCCCGCAGCGCCCGATACCTGCCCAGGCTACCATAGCGCGTCTCCAGGCTCAATTGGTGGCGCGGACATGATGTTTTCTTATCCGTCTCTTCCGATAAGTTGCTGCAAAGTTGCCGAGGGTGTTCGCGGTATTCCTTCTCTCTGTGGCTTTGAGGTCAATGAGACCCGTTGTAATCTCTTCAACGGCACTTCCTGCTTCCTGCTGGAGCCGCGGGGCGCGCGACGGCTGGTTCACGACGATTTTTCCGACCCCACTCGTCCGGCATCCAACACGACTGCGTTCCTTCTCATGGCTCCGCCGCCGTCGCCCCCGTCCTCCCCTGCCGAGGCGCTAAAGGACCCGCACCTGCTGCTTGCTCACGGGGGCAGGGCGGACTTTCGAGGCCGCGATGGTGGCCTCTACAACTTCCTCTCGACTCGAGGCCTCGCGTTCAACGTGAAGACCGAGGACGCCACGTTCACTTTGCACGGTGGAAAGCTGACGGTGGACGGTTCGTTCATCACCGAGGCGCACGTGGTGGCGCGCGTCGGTGGCGCGAAGCGAAAGATTGCGACCGCGTCCTTTTGGGGAGCAGAGCTCAACGAGTTCAACACTGGATGGCGCCTCGTCAACGGCTCGTGCGGCTACAACAGCGTTTTCACGCTGGCGATGGGCGAGTACAAGGCATGCGAGGAGCTCGAGGTGCGCGTCCGCTTCTCGAGCGCCACCTTCAGCGTGCGAGGCTGGGTGCTCCGGGTCCGGGGCAACTATGTGTTTGGCCACATATCCGGCCCCACGCACCGGCTCGACCTCACTCTGAGCGCGCGTGGCGGCGCCGTTGAGGCCGCGCCACCCCACGGCATCGTCGGCCAGTCCTTTGCAGACGACTCGCCTCGAACCGGAGCCAAGGACGTCTACCCCTCTGAGGGCCGTTTCAAGACGAGCGCAATGGCGGAGGGTGCGATCGAAGGTAGTGCGGCGATGTACGAGGTTGCGACAGCGTACTCGACGGTCTTTGCCTTCTCGCGCTTCGACCCGCTCAAGGGCAAGGCCGCGGCGGCGGAGACAGATGGGCGCAGTGGCGATGATGGCCTCGGCGAGGCGTGAGACTGAGTAGGATGTGCATGCCGGGCGGGTAACATACGGTACGTACCGTCCGGGCTCCGGCGGTCGTGGATCGGGTCGGGTGTGTTTATGTATCGGGCTCAAACGCAAAGATCCTCGCTTCTTCTCACCAACGGCATCCTTCCACAGCGCACCCCGGCGCGCTGACCGGCCCTGCTGAGCCGCCGAGCTGCGGACCGAGCGCTGTGGCTGTCGCCAGGGGCCAGTCACCGCCACGGCACCGAGCGAGTAGTACACCGGCGCGCTCGCTGTGGAACTCAGCACGAGGAGCAGCGCTTGCAGGCGCGCATTTTTCAGATTAGAATTTAGATGGAAAGATGCCACAATGCTCAATGGCGGTCAAACTCAATGCCTTCACGAGCTTCATTACAACCCCGTTCATACACACACACACACATTATCTCTCACACACAACATATGCGATTGTGGACATGTGTTGTACTGCCCTTCCTCCCTCTTCCCGGCCTCACCGCGGCGCGGAACCATTCTACAAACAGGCAATTAAGTCGCGCCTCTCGTCCTCGTTCTCTCTGCCTGCTCGTGTTTCATCTCCTCTGACTCATCGCTCTCCTCGGCCTCGTTCTGAGACGCGCCGCTGCCGTCTGCCTTGCTCTCGCGCTGCTTCTCTCCGCCTTTCTGCGTAACTCCGCCCTCCTCGCGGCATAATTTGGCCCCTCGAGTTTATCGAGCTCCCCTCTCGCGCAAGGACCACATTTCTGACTCCCACTCCGATCATTTGCCTCCAAGTCATGTCGTTGCACGTTGGATGCTCACGTCCACTCTCGTTTCGAGCACTTGAACCCCAACGGTCGGTGTTGGCACTGGGGTTCCCTTCGGGTATATCGTGACAGCTGATGGCGGGATTACCACTGGTGTTTCGTCCTCCTCGGAGTCGTCTTCCCCGGCTTCCTCTCGTTCGGCTCTACACGTTCATTAACGTTCATCGTGGCTCACCCTCCATGCCGTGAACAGGCGCCCTATCCATCCTATGTTCTTCTCTCGCTCCTCTGCCCGTGCCTTGGTCTTGTCGTTGTTTCGCACCCATGTCTGTATGGCAATCGAAGCTGCCTTCCCCACTACCTGTAG